CAATGAGTATAGGTACCTAGTTTTCATCACCAGCAATGAAATTCAACAGCAGTATATATAATATTGCAATGAATGTTACCGACAGTTTTTTTATGGTGAATAAAGCAAACCAATTGATAATTTCCATAGCACGAATAATGTTTGATAAAAAATCTTGGACGAGCATTTTCATGAAGATATTGTTAATAAAATACGAATGAATGATAGAACAAACAACATTGTTTCCAGCAAACACAGTTACATCACAGAGATATCGCAGCGATGTAACAATTGTGATCTGCGATATCGCATTCTATGTCACTGCGTCGCTGATGCGATGCCAAAGCGATGTTATTTTGTCTCACTCAAGTTCCATCCATGCGACGTCGCTGCGATAAGTTCTCTGCGATATAAAGCGATGTGTTTTTTCGATAAAACTACAATGTGATGCAAGATGACATCGTAGTAAAAGAAAGAAAAAAAGTTTCCTCAAACATGGTGTGATAATTAATAGGTAGGTACACCACTGACTGCTGATGACATCTGTATTGATTATGCGTTAAAGTGACTAGTTGGAGGTCCTTCGGGTATCCTCTCAATTCAATCGTTTTTTCAGCAGCGTCATCCTTGGTACAGTCGTCTTCGGAAAACATGTCGCACTTGGACGATGATAGCATTCTCAATAACTCCTGGAATAAGAGCGCTGACACCGACATGATCTCTGAAGACGACTGTACCTACCAGAGAATCTTTATCAGAATGAGATCAGTTACTCGTATTCGTATCAAAAATTATGTAGTGTGTGTTGGCGACATATAAGCAAACCAAGAATAATTTGATAGCAATGTAACGAATGTTTGCGAATTAACCTTCACTTTCTTCAGTAACGTATATTCATATATTGTTTTTCATCGTACAAAAAATCAAATAAGAAATATTTGAGAAATTCTCGCATATGCCTTGCTGTCGCAGATGTGTTTCCTTCTGTACATCGCAGCGATGGAACATTCGTGATATCGCAGTGTTGCCTCATCGATCCACCTCAGAGATGTCATGTTGCAGATGTTTTGGCTGGGTTCATGGTCAAAACCTAGGACTTTTTATATTTTCAATGAATGTGTCATCAATTATTGGAATTACATAAGCTTAAAATATGTTGTTTTATTCATTTTGCCAGGAATAAATTGAGAATATCAAATATAGCTTTTAATGAAGTCGATACAGTCCATAGTAATAGGACTAGACAATTGATTTACTTGATAGCAAATACATTCAAGTCGAACATTGGCAACAATCTGTATTTCACGATGGAATAATTTTATACAATTCATTACCAGATGAGTTAAAACATATACATGATGCATGAAGGTTTAAATTAAATCTTAAAAAATACTTGCTCAGGACAATTTGAATGAAACATATGTGGCATGATTTGATTACTCAGAAATGAGAAATGGAATGTTAAATATCTTTCATCTTAAGAAACAATATTAATTTGTTTCCACTAAGTGGGATTCATTAATCAACCCTTTATTGAATTTTTTATGTATTGATGTATCCCTATTAAAAACAAATGTTTCTTGGGGTAATAAAGGAAATCAAGCAATCAATAAATACGATTTCAGATAGAATAATTCGCTTTATCATTATTCAGCTGAAGAATAAGCATCCAATACACTGTTACCTATATCCAATATCGAGTAACGCAGAATTTCTCGAGCTAAAATCCATGGATTTTATAGTTCATGGACATCAATGAGACTATTGAAATGTATTGAAAGAATCTCAAATTCGACAGACGAGCGAAATTTTCAAATAATATCGAGACTGTATCAAAAATCCGTAGACCTATAGAAAAATTAGTGAGTCTGTCAACCCCGCAACTTTCACTGACCAGGTACAAGGTAACCACTAGAGTCTAGGGCTAGCACCTTCTGAGGAGGCGAATTTACCCGAGCGCCGACAGCGGACACCTCAACCATTCATTCAGCCATCGAACATCAACTTTCTGAAAGTTGATGTTTGATGTCTCAGCGGACACGATAAAATCGTATAAAATCTTTTGAAGAGCGAAGAACGATCGATATTCTTTTTTGTACCTACTAAAGTTCATTCTTGTATTACTAATATTATGATCCATAAGCAAGACACACTAAGTCATCTCCACTCTCCGATTATACTATTTTGTTTTAATTCCAAATAGAAATGAAATCCTTGAAGAAAACGCATTCCATCAGAAACTCATCCGAACGTCCAATAATAAACAACCATTGGACGTCCACTAGTAAACATCAACTGGACGTCCAACTCATATACATAATTTGCACTTATACATTTGATATTGATTATTGATTGGATCTGGAATCTTTACTAAAAATATAATATATTATCAATGACATAAAACCTTTTTGTCGTACTTACCAAGAATTTGTGTTCGAGCAACCGTGTCAGGGCGATAAACTAAGGAACAAAAATCTGTTTGAGCAGAAGAATATGTGAGGTTAAGTTGATAATCGCCATGTTCATTGTTTCATTGTTTACCGCTGGTGTTTACTCGATGGCATTTTAAATGGTATTTTCGTGTCTTTTTGTGAAGAAGTCTTCTGAAATAGCCTGATCTTTTGATTGATTGTATATGGTTTGTGCAGTTACCTATTATATAATGGTCGTTGTGTTAGTTATCACAGTTATATCATCATGAGAGAAATGTGAGGTTGAATCTATAATGATTCAATGATTGCTGCCTGTCGAATCCATTCCTTCAGTATCGTTCTATCATCTTGAGTAAGATGAATACACTCTTTATACTTCTGGTGAATATAAGTTGTAGAAAACTTTTGTAGAAAATATTGGAATAAGAGAGTGCGACTGATGCATGATGGTGAATCTGATTCATAACATTCATATGGAGATATGGAAATAACGAGTGCCAATGGAGCTAACTTCGATCGAAGAGCTTTTGTAGAAAAGACAGTGTTTTATTTTTCATCTCGCTTTCTGTTGAACTCTTATGAAATTTTTGTGTTATTTGTTTATGTGGTGGACCACCCTGAATATAAAAATAACTTCTCAACCCAGTTTTTTTATATGAATCACAAATTTTTACAAAGTTCAACCCATTATTTGCAGGAGACATTGTATCTGTATCCTCTGGATTCATTCAGATTTACAATGGATGTACATTGGACGTCCAGAAAATACTCAGAATGGTTGTTATTTGGATGATTTCTGGACATCCATTTCACTAAATATGGACATACAATGGCCGCCCAGTGTACGCACAATGTACGTCCATTGGACCTTTTCTGGACTTGGAATGTACGTCCAAAGTGGTGGTGGTCCATTGGACGTACATTGAATGTACATTGGACATTGGATTTCTGGACATCCATTGGATGTCTACAAAAACAGCACTGCATATTAAAAACTACCTACCTCTACAGCACACATTATTAAGAACAACTAGGTAGTATAGTTACAACTTTTTGATCCAAATATACCCACATCGCCTAACATCAGCAAGAGTCTCAGTGGCGTAACTTCATATTTTGGGCCCCCCGCTAAAATCATTTAGAGCCCCCTCGAGACAAACTTTTTCAGTCAAAAGTCCCTTCTTTCCATGAATTGAATAACCAACAAGCTTCACAATACGCTTCATTTTCTTTAGGTGAATAACAATCATTTTCTTGGAATAATTCACCCAGCGTGACTTTTCTGTGAATAATAAAAATTAGAGAAACTCCTCTTTTGGAAAATTTATATCTGGTTGAGACGGGCCATAACGATATTACGAAAAATAAACATTTTCAATTAATACATCCAGTAATGAATCATCTGACTCAGTTCCATCTCAAGGAGTTCTCGGATTCAAGTCAGGTATGGGCTCCTCGTGGATTTCAGATATAATACTTTTTATATTTACACCATCTGTATAAACAGTTTTTTCGAATGCAGTAGTAGCAGAAGTCTCGTCATTTGCTAAGCAAAAATTTGATATTTTTTCTATACCTTTATTCCTCTTCTCCAAACTTGTTTCAATACAAATTGTCACTGATAAGCTAGTGAACTTTTTTTTAGGCTCTATGATATGAAAATTCTTCAAACGCAGTGACATTTTGGGGCAAATCATCTGATTTGTCCTTACTACACGTATACTGAAATGATATTCATATTTTTATTTTATAGAAACGAGGAGAGAATATCCCAAAAAATCTGGAATAATAGTTTCTCTTCCATAATAATTGCAGAGTCAACATCCATTCCTGTTTCAAGCATCATACTGCTACTACTTGTTGGAGATTCATCATAAAATTCAACTGTATTATCCGAAACAGTAGTAGTACTCGTAAACGAACGTGGTAATCTCATCTTCGAACTTTTGTTTCCTTCTTCTTTTTGAAGCACCACTAGTTTTAATTAGGTTCATTTCAAATAATTGGCTTGTATCATTGATTTCATCACCCGCTGGACCTACACTGAAAAAAAAAACATGCCTGCACTATTCGCAGAAAGGGAAAAATTATTTCTGTGGCATATTCATGATTAAAAAATATCCGTGTATCAACCAATTTGGCTGAGTCCTTGCTCTGGTTGGTGTACCCAGGGTCCCAGGGCCTCCTCCGAGGAACGGGCCCTCCGTATAGTAGTTACGCCACTGAAGAGTCTAAAAAGATCAATCTATCATAATTTTTGCAAATCATCCCCAAGTTACTGCCCAGATAAAATATATCAATTTTACATTCAACTCTGTATGCTGTAATTGCTGTTAATATACGGATCTCTCTATATTCATCAATGGTTCAAAATTCCAATCCCCACATTGTTATGTTCAAAACAAACAATTGGCGCGCTTTTAAAGGAACTCTGTTAGTCAAGGACATCCTTACGTTCGGGTAAATTCGCCTCCTCAGAAGGTGCTAGCCCTAGACTGTAGTAAGGTAACCTGAACGCTTGCATCAGCGCACGCTCCGCATTCAAAAACCACAACAGCGGGAACTGAACCCTCCAACGCCAACTTCCACAATCGTCCACCGACCGTCGTACAGCGAAGCGCACGAGCTCTCGCAACCATTTTGCCGCGTAAAACCAACCGACAACCGGAACCGAAAACCAAAAAATGTGACGCCGGCAGTGCGGAAACAGTGCTAGTGCAGTGCGGAAATGAGCGATGCCTTTCGTGCAGCGGCGCGTCGAACCTCGCCATCTTAGCCGTACCCGCCTCTTCGGGGAAGATGGCCAAGCGAAGGTGGAAGATGGCGAGCTGCAGGCTGTTACCAACAACACCCTGTGCAACGCGCTGCGGCAGCTCGCCTCCTTGGTGCTGGTGGCTGGGGACATCTTCGCTGAGTTGGGGGGGCAGCTGGGAGGAATCCGAGAGAGGGTTGAGAGGGTCAAGGTGAGGGTCGGTGTGTTGGAGGAAAGGGTGGAGAGGTTCGATCCCAAGGAGGTCACAGTGCGTAAGTATCTGGTTCAACTTCCTTCTATAGCACATGTTCTTTGAATGTTCCCGGAACATTCCCTAAGGGCCTATTTATGCATCATTGTCTCAGCCTTAGTCTTAATTTCACAAGTTCTATGATTGCTCCTAGAACATTATCGTAAAATATTTGAATGTTCTCACAAGGTTTGTCGAATTTTACGAAATGTTACGTTCCCAAACGGTCCTCATAAATCTTCCCCAGAATATTCTAAGAACGTCCTCTGCATATTCCCAATGATGTACTAAGAACATCATTAGTATATTCTGAGAATCATAGATTATTATGGAATTACAGTGAGTAAGTTTCTGCTCCAATTTCCCTTAATAACAAAAAGTCTCGCAAAATGTGATTCTATGAATGTTCCTAGAATTTTCTCGTAGAATATTTGAACTAAGAACATGGCAATTTTACGGCAAGGTCTTCAGCATCTTCCCCATAATATTCTCAGAAAAACTTACCAAAAATCTCGTCAAAAATATCTAGCATATACTGAAAAAATGCAAATTATCCTGAGAATATCGGAGAAAATCCCTCGCTCGATTCCCGCGGTATGTTCTCGACCAATATCCTGGACACGTCTGTCAAACAATATCCGACAATATCATGAGATATTCTAGAATGTTCATGGAATATTCTAATGAAATTCAGTGATTGTTCCAGAAAAACATTCATAGAATATAATGAAATTACATAAGGTAAGTATCTGCTTCAACTTTATTTCATTGCACAAAGTGAAATGAATGTTCTTAGGAATTTCTCGTAGAATATTTGAATGTTCACACATGGTTTGTTGAATGTTCGTAGAAAATACACTTGAAACAGGAAAATTTTACGAAAATTCACGTTCCCAGAAGGTCCTCAGAATCTTCCCCAGAATATTCTTAGCACATCCCCAGTATAATCTGAGAATCAAAGATTATTTTGAAATCACAGTATGTCAGCTCATATTTCAACTTCCTTCAATAATACAACATTATCGTAGAATATTTGAATGTTCTCGCAAGGTACTTTGAATGCGAGGTTGAATGTTTGTAGAAATAACTAACAACATGAACATTTTACGAAGAGGTCCTCAGAATCTTCCCCATAATATTTATAGAACGACGTCCTCAGCATATTCCCAAAAACGTACCAAAAATGTTCTTATTATCTTCTGAGAATTATCATAGCACGAGTCATAGCATTTTACTGAAAAAATGCAAACTCATTCTGAGAATATCGCCGGTGTGTTCTTGTCGAAGTTCTCTGTCAATCACTATCATGGGATATTCTCGGATATTCTAGGAAGAAAAATTCAGTGATTGTTCCAGAAAAGCATTCATCACAGTGCGTAAGTACCTGCTTCAACTTGTTGTTCCTAGGACATTCTCGTAGAATATTTGAATGTTCTTACAAGGTTCGTTGAATGTTCGGAGAAAACACATTTTATGAAAATTCACGTTCCCAGAAGGTCCTCAGCATATTTCCAAAAACGTACTAAGAACATCCCAAGTATATTCCGAGGTATATTCTGAGAATCATAGACTATTATGAAATCACAGTGCATAAGTTTCTTCTTCAACGTCCTTTAATAAGACAAGGTAATTCTATGAAGGTTCCTAGAACATTCTCGTAGAATATTTTGATGTTTCCACAGGGTTCGTTGAATGATCCCAGATAATACTAAGAACATGAAAAGTTAACCAAAATGGAAGGCGTTTTTTTTTAGTAGTGTGTCAACAATGTAGCATTTGGTAACATTTTGAAGATGTCCCTAGGTTTGCATATAGAAATGTATACTCAGGCTGTCCTGAAGTCGTCTGATTCAGGACAATATACTTAGGTGAACATTCACAGCTTATAAGCGTTATTAGGATGAAGAAATTGGATAATATAATCTCGAATATAATGTTGTATACTCGATTGAATATTATATGTAGGTATACCTACCACCACAATAAAATATACGTTTCATTCGATAAAAATATCGAATATCAGTGAAAGTACTTTTCAAAATAGTGCCAGTCTCGGTGCCAGCAGTATACCATCGATTAAATCAATCTGGAAATCAATTGACCATTGAATCGCCGGATATATCGTGTCTGCTGGGCAGTTGCAATGCCTGAGAAACAGCATATTATGATGCAAGGATTTTTTGAAGTTAACTAAAGATTTGGCCTAACATACTCTTTTTTAATAATCATTCAGAAAAAACCGGAAAAAACCTTGGAAAAATTGGGAACAACAACAAACCAAAATATTATGGTTGGTTATACGTTAATGACTCACTACAGGTTTCACCTCGGGTTTCACCAATAATTCACCCTGTATACGGTCGACTGTATAAGACGAGGAAACAAACGCTCTCTTCAAGGGCATCGGCTGCCATAAAGGCAGGGAAAAGGGAACAAGGAGGCTGTATAATCGCATTGTAATGCCTAATTATGAGGGGTGTGATTAATGGGTATGGTTCTTCTCAGGTAAATTTTCTGAATGAAACAATGAACCATTGTGAGGAAATATTCAGCTGGTGAAATAACTCTTTCTTCATTCTTCAAAACTCGGATTCTTGTTCCTCAACAGCTTCTCATGATCTACAAAGCGCAGATACGGCCTGTTCTAGAATTCTGTTCCCACATATGGGGTTCAGCACCAAAACATACGCTGATGCTCTTAGATTCCATCCAGAGAAGAGCCATCCGCCTGGTGGGTGACGCCACACTCACTCACTCTTTGACATCATTGGAACACCGTAGAAAGGTCGGCGACCTTTCACTTTTTTTTTATCGATACTTCCACGGGAAATGTTCTTCGGAAATCTCTGCTATCATCCCGAGGGGTAAATCACATGGGAAGTCCGGTGTACCCTAGACGGGAATTCCTTGGGTAGTCTGGGAATTCTTTGGGAAGTCCGGGAATTCTTTGGGAATTCCTTGGGAAGTCCGGGAATTCCTTGGGAAGTCCAGGAATTCCTTGGGAAGTCCGGGAATTCCTGAGGAAGTCCGGGTATTCTTTGGGAAGTCCGAGGAATTCTTTGAGAAGTTCGGGAGTTCTTTGGGTATTCTTTGTGAATAACTTGTAGTCCCAGCAATTTTTAGAAAATTGAAGTCAAATTTCTCAACGATGTTTAGATATGAAAATAAATTTTGCGCAAAGAAAACATATATGGACCTATACTTTGTTGACTTTTTTTGGACGGAGAGGTACCGCGAGCACCGAGAGTACCTTGTCCCACTTAGAATATCATATGTTAGTCAGTCGAACTTTCATTCTCTTCAAGGTTTCCCGTTGGAATCCTGTTAATAATTCGGAAAGATGAGAAGATCGAGAAAAATTTCTTTTCTATTGAACACAAGATTGAACATTTCGAGTTCTGTCTGGCGATCGATTTTTCGACGACTTCCCGATATCCAATCATGATGAAATTTTACACATATCTTTGGGTCTGGTCAATATGGGTATTATCAGATTCAATACGGTTATTATAAAGTAGAATACAATTTATAACAAAGATTGAAATCCAATATGGCCGCCGACAAAAAATTTTTCTTTTTATACGAGCGTGCGGAAAAGTTACTTTACCCCACTAGTGCTGAAAAGTTACTTTTCGCCACGATTTTTGTATTGTTGAAAATGGGGATATTTATGACTAACTAAATGATCTATGGAACTATTTTGTCATTTTGTAGCATTGTTATAAAATCTTGTTTATTAAAAACCTTTTTTTTTCTCAAATAATAATAATATGGACAAAAACACTCTTGGAAAAACATTATACCTTACTCTTCTTGCGGCAAATGTCTTTTCCACAATTGACGGGTTGCCCGAACTCCGCCCCGCGTCGTTCGTAACAGCCGTCGCGTGCGGTAAAGTACTACTTTTCGCACTTGTTTGGTAAATTACTACTGAATTCGTTTACAATTCCCTCGACATGGGTACCAAATAAGAGAGAATGACAAGTAGAATACAAAAACCATATGACACTACTTGAAATCCAATATGGGGCTTACACAAAATGTAAATGTTAATCAATTTCATTGAACACTTTGAAATACCATACAGGGTGTGCCTAAAAGGTTTAAACAAAAAATACCACATATTCCTCAGACCACAATAATTGAATTATATCAAATCTACCTACCTAAGTATAAAATTGCTCAGTTTGGGCGCTAAACGGCTCTGGAGAATTTTGTACCTACGATCGAAATTATGATGAATATCATTCCATGCTAGGCGTAGAATTCATTTTTTTTAGAAGGTACTCTTGATAAAATTCTATTACTCTCATGATCTCGAAAAAATTCATGATTCTAGTAATTTAAAACATGTTGTCTACTTGTCTAGCGCTCTAATCGAGGCTCAAACTAAGCAACTTTGTACTGAAGTAAGTTTGCTTGTATATTTCGTATTGTTTTGGTCTGATGAGGAATATTAAGTATTCTTTTGTGAATACATATTAGGGACAGCCTGTATATCTTTGCAATTCGGACAAACGAGTTCACAGAAATATAAGTATGAAATTTAGCGACTTACTATGACCCGATCTATAAACTGTAGAGTTAGTTTCATAAACAATCTTGATATAGGGGCCAACACTTTTATTGCTACAGACATGTGGCATAGAGAAACATCTCGAGAAACATTTTGAAGTTTTTTCCACAAAAGCTAAAAAAATACAATATTCTTCTATTCAAAGATGTATACAGTAATACAGGTAGGTATTGGAGAAATATCATCATTTACTTTATTTCAACCTTCGCTTCATTTCCTTATATTTTTGTACATTGATTGACATCTTATTGCCGATTCCTAGATACAGAAGGTTGACGTTTTGTGCACGAGAAATAATACCTAGTAATTTTTGAATGTATGATGAATTGACATTCATCATACAGGACGTGGAAAGTAATTCTGAATTGATATTTTTATCACATGGAGAATGCGAATTCTCAATGTATTTCTTTACATATATATATCCATTTTTTTGTGTTCATAAA